AAGCAAGGAGATAGCATCCGAATAAGTTCCGTTAAAAAACACAAACTCAATGGTAAACTTAACCGACTAACCATAGGATTTTGTTGTTTTGTTCAAGTAGAAATGTAGCTAGATCGAGGCGTAACTGACTTGCGGGCACACTCGCCTCCGTACATTCGTCTCATCGACGAGGAATACGTCCAGTCGGGAAACGAACTGTGGAGATGGAGGCTAATATAGGTGAAATTAGTTGACGCTCTTTTTCGCAATAATTAAAGTGTATGGAGCCAAAGTTGGATGTGGAATACAGTTGTAGCCAAACAAGTTTTTCCTTGACCTCTTAATTAGATGGAAATACTTGCACTGTGAGTGTTGAATAATCAAACGGGAGAAATGAGTTCAATGTAGTAGAACATACTTAGTGCAATAACACAGAATGAAATTGTGTGGCATCTAGGATACACTAACTTCCACAGCGCAGTACCACTAGAGCACAAGCGGAGTTTAATCAGATCTCTCGCCTTCAGGGCGCGCAGTATTTGTACACCGGATACCGTCAACGAAGAACTACAGAGAATCAGCGACGCCCTCAGGGAAAATGGCTATCCGGATAAATTTATCATGAAACATTTGAAGGAACGTAATCGAAAGCCACCTAGGAGCATTGCTCCTAAGAAAGAGCTTTTCATACATGTACACTTTAAGGGCGATTCTGCAGCTGATATGTTATCCAGACGCCTGAAAGATGCTGTCGAGAAAACTTATTTCGCTGCCCGCCTGAGAATCGTTTTTCACAATAAGCCGTTGCTTACAAAACCCTTGAAGGATAGACTACCGCCATTGACCCGTTCAATGATCATTTGTCAGTACTCGTGCTCCTGTGGTGCAGGATACGTGGGTCGCATGACGAGACGCCTATCTCAGAGGGTTCGTGAACACATCCCGACATGGTTTTACAGAGGCGAAATGAGGTCTTCAGACAGCTCTATCATGTCGCACCTCCTTGAATGTGGCCATACAGCTTCGGAGAATGACTTCAAAGTCATTTACTCATTACCTGAACACTTCTCCCAAGGATTCCGCAAACAGCTCTTAGCCCTCGCCGAGGCTATGTACATTCACCATCTAAAGCCGGAATTATGTGTCCAAAAACGATTTATACGGCCGATATTACTACCTTGGCCAACGGACACCGTTGCTTAGTTATTTGGACGTCATCTTACCTACTTAATTACCTTGTACTAATGAGAATTGTGTACATATGTTTATTTAGTTTACTTGGTCTACCATCTCTATCTCTGTCTCAAGTTATCGATTTTGGTCATTCAAACAGTCAAGAAGTCAATCCCAGCCCCAGTTGACGCTATATCCACAATCACTGTTATGTAAAAGTTTGGGTCTGATGAGATTTACCGAAAAGAATTCTTTACCCTGAAATGATTTCTGATATTGATTCATCTAGGATACACACAAGGGAGACATATAAAATTAACCGGATCTTGGTGGATAGTTTATCCACATGAAGTGAACTCAATAAGACGTGGTTCAGTGTGACTTCATGATACCTTTTGATCATTGAGGTATAAGCTGTCAAATTTGATCGAAAATTTTGGATATTCTGCGACAAATTTCTGATGACGAGCCAATTTATACAATGAATACAGAATGTGGTTACACTTGGATGCTTTCAGCATCAAGAAGCAGGAGCATGTCAACCGTACTAATTCGTCCAAAAAATCACAGCTTCGTAGAGTAGACCAAGGTTGGATGTGTCACGCTAATGTTGAGAACCTTAACATACTTTGGAATGGTTCTACTTCTAGGAGAAGCATGGAGATATGGTAAATAGAGAAACGGAACTGTGACCAAGTAGCTGCTTGAACGACATTGCAAGTTATGATAAGTAGCGAGAGGGTTTTACTGCCAAACTCTGTGATATAATAATGTTTGGTGAAATAATCCTCCGGGGAGGTGGATTATCATAAGTTTGCTGATCTTATCATAGTAAATCACAGCTGACATGCGAAAGTGCTACTGTACACCAGGAAACGTTTACAGGTACGTTGGTTCTCCTGTCTACCGACATTAACCCTGGAGGCCCTAGACAAGCCACTGCACCTTGTGTATCCCTATAGATTCTATCAGAAAACTTATATGGATCATCCAAACCATACTGTGCCATGTTATAGTCTATTCCTTACGATGTCCCTCTTATTCGTGTTTCATTAGGTGGCTAAACCACAGCGACTCTCGTCTCATTGGTTGTTCAAGATCCGGACGGTTAAAACTGCCAATGCTGTGTGTTGAGTCGGTTACTTCCTGTTTTAATACTGATACCCAGACTGTTTTGTATGTTGCTCTTTATGCATCAGGCCGGTGTAGAAGTATAATATTAATATCAATACTGTGTTAATAGTGGTACTAATGAAAACAATAATATTAGGTATTTGGTATTCGTTAATCACGATACATTCAAGGACACTGAGAAGCGTCAATTAGACCGATAGTAACCCGTCCCATTCTTCCCTACTGGCTTTATACTAACAAGCTCCAAACCATAGGCCTTTTTCTCTTGTTTCAAACACAAGCTTTTAACTCAGGCAGAGGTCAGAATTAGAAATCAGCGTGCTACTTGAAGACGACGAGTGAAGACCTATTACATTTGCGTAGGTTGCTTGTGCGCAGCTGGCTAAGCTTCGTGTGCGGTGATGCAGGGAATCTGTGAACCGCTGGAACGTTGCTGAGGAGGCGTTGTAGATGGGATCACAGCAATCACGATGTAAAATCATCCTACTTATTAGCAATATATGACTTAGTTTTCCTAGTTTCAAATGCTATGGTTGTAGCTTCTCGTGAGTGGAAGTCATGACCTTCGGAGTCTATCCATTGTCATCCGCCCAACTAGTAACCTGCATGGCAGTGGAAGATAAGTCGTGCTATATCCTGGTTAGCTTAAAAATTGTGTAGCCCAGCGGACGTCCTCCGTGGCTCTGTGGCTTAAGCTGCTGGCTACTTGGCAACTGCCTCTAGCAATCATGGGTTCGATCCCCAGTGGTAGGTCGAGGGACTGCGCACCACTGACGAGTACCAATAGGGCGAAACGCATCTGGTGATTTTCCGGATTAGGCTGTGCTATGTAGCTTGTAAGCAGCTGAGTGGAAACAAATAGAATTAAGATGCTCCTGCTAATTAGTAATAATGATTTAATTCCTGTATTTGCACAGCAGAACTTGTGCCAAGACGAGTGAATACGCTGTGCTATTTCATAATAAACGAAATATAACGATAAATGTTGTTTTCCAGAATCCTATGAACAACAAAATGATTAAGGCGGGGCAAGTTCTTTCGTTATACGCTCAAATGATATCATAATCAAGCTTGCTCGTTGTTCTCGAAACTGTGGTGCAAAAACCAATCAACGCAGACGCACATATTTTCTGTCGCTGCAACGCGTGACCCACTTATTAGGGTGGACAGATCCTTGACAAAGTTTGTGAAATATCAGTTTCATGAAATCCAGACCAGGCCACATAGACAAAAGGCACAGATTTGCGTGACAAAGCAGTTGTGTCAAAAACGGTTTAGTTGTTGTGTTTGACAGGTTTCGCCGGAAAGTGTTTGTATTCATGGCAAACGAGCGCCTCTAATAGGATTCGATTTTTAACCACTTGTTTTTTTGGTGAACCGGGTAAGGTTACTGATTTCAGGCAATACGGTACCTTGATAACAATTCAGAACATATCTTTTACCCAGTTAGTAATTTTCCACGCGCTTACAGCGTGCATACGGGTGTCCATCGGAACACATCTGGAACTAAACAAGGTCACAGTTCAGGCTTTCGCATCAAAATGAGAAACGGATTTTAGCATAGCCATCACGACAATAATTGACCGCAACGTGCTCATTTTGTTTTGTTAGCTCATTCGAGACTGGAGGCACTATATAACTGTGGGTGCAAAACGGACGACGTAACCTACACCGTTTTTTAATTGGGCTGCGTGCATTCAGGTGTCGGTGATAGAAAATAACAAATCCCAAAAGTGTTTGTTACAAAGCTCTGTGACCCACTGCATTCGAAATGCCATTCTCCGTATCTACTCGGACGGCCGTTTGCTATCTTCAGGTTCTATTGCTTGGTTTATGTGTAGATTGTTACGTGGTTTGTAGCATGCAATGATGCCTTTGCTACAAAGACGTGTATGCTCATTTGGGTTTTGATGTTCTCTCAGTTATCTTGGAACTGGAATCACAATATTATTTTGGCTATGGTGGATTGCACACATAGTTCTTTATTTTTCTTATCTACTTGATTGCTTTACTGAGAGTTAACGAACAATTGCGAAAGCAGAATGTCAGGAATTGACTTATCTCATTTTTACGGTCCTCCTCTGACTGTGCTATCCTATTGTTTTTGTACATGACCAGTAGAGTTCGTGCGGAAAGTATTACAATCACCTTGTTTAACGTTATTTTACAGAGCATACAATTGTACGGCGAAATTAACAACCAGCGCAACGAAGAAATTAATCAAAGTACAGAAAGTACAGTCAAGATGAGCGAGATCCATTAACTTCTCTATTAAGTATTACTTTGGTTCATGGGCTCAAAGTTGCGAGCATAAGATGGTTGCCTCTAAAGACGTAGTTTATGGGACATAACAAATGTTACTGCGAAGTAACTAGGCTATAGTGTTAACCTCTAGCTGTTCACAACTGTAGACGGCATATACTCCAAACTAGGTACGGTGACATTGAACTTCTGCGAGCGCCTCTACATAATCTGCTGACCATGCGTGCACAGTTTTCGCATTATTCATGTGTCCGTATGACGTGTGCATAGAGTACGCATAAAGTGCGAACAAACAACGTTATTCTTTCATCACCGTAGTTACCGACTTGGGAACAAAATGCATTATGTTAGGCTTTCAAATACTTCAAAGGCCCAAGATATATATATTGCAAAGTTAGCTCTCCGCTTCCCTAAACTTCAACCTATCCGTACAGTCGATACATGAAAGGATTAGTGCGAAAGAGAGTTTATTAAATTAATTAGCCAATACAAATGAAATCACGAAGCACCTAGCCTATACCTCCGTGTCTGGACGCGACTTGATGTAGGCAGCCAGATTCACATTGCTGTTGATCACTTTCTCTCGGTAATCAAGTAGTTTGGGGTATTTTTCCTTCAACAGAGCTTCGTCGTGCTTGAGGACATGATCCAGTGTCGCCAGAAGATAAAGATCACCCAGTGTCAACTTGTTACCAGCAACAAACTGCCCGTCAGATTCGGCAAGCGATTGAGATAAGAGCTGAAATCACAAATGATTTGTATGAATGAAATGTATATACACGGCATGCAGCTCTGCGTTTCATAATTCGAGGCAGGTGTGTCAGCTAAATTCGCGCAATATTTCTGCACTGTTTCTTCATGCTGTTTTGTGTGGCAAGTTATAGTTAGTTCTACAGGACAGGCGAGATATTTGCGGAAGTCCTCGCTTATTCAGCATGCAATTACTAACCGACAGTGAGTAAGTGTACAGAGTTTATGTGTTTGGAGTCCCGTGGCATTTTTGTACTTCCCATACAAATCCCTAGTGTTACTTGGCTATTATTTTTCCATGAGCACAACCTCCAAAGTCATCATGATGGTACTCACTAGTTGTTTCTGTAGAAATGCAGATCAAAATATCCTCACCGACCTGGACATATACTTACATCGATTATTTTTGAAATCGGTCCCTTGAATGCGTCTTCGATAGCCTGTTTTCTTTTGTCCTCTGGTGCGTGGAAAGCGTCATATAACTCCTTAGAAAAATCGCGGCACTGCAGGGAAGACGGATGATGCAATTGTCAAAAATAGCAAACGCTAAACAAGTTAAGCCATCCTGGTTTACTTATTTACAGGCGCAATCGATTTACTCAATCATGTCTGTGTTGCTAAGACACGACTGTCTATGAATGTTGAATTAAAGCTATTAGGAATCCAAGACCATTACTTCTAGCATAGTGAAATACATGCATCTCTCTGAATTGAAGCAGTAAGAGTAATCTAGAATCCCTTTGAATCACACCTTCATGATCAGCAAACAGTTCATGCGGATAAAGTTTTCAAGCTACCTGAAAGGAAATAATGTTTGTGAAACATAATGGGATTCACACGATCATGGTAATCGAAACATTCAACTCAAGAGCATTTCAATTATCAACGACTAACTTGTCCAATGATTCTGTCGATCAGGTAGTTCTCTTCATCTGTGTCACCCATCAGTTTGAAACGTCTTGCCAGGAATTGGGCGATGGCCAAACTTTCTTGATAATATGTTGGTTTGGAATCTTCGGGTTTGGAAATTACTAGTACTGGTAATCGTCCTCCCGGAATGGAGGCTTTTCTAGCTGGCCAGTCACTAAATTCGATACGCTCATCTTCGAACGGTATCCCTGCTGCGTGTAATACCAGCCGAATAGGCTCCGCACTACCGCGAAGATGAAAGTAGATGACCTGCAGACATGGGTGACAAATTCAGTACATGCTGTCTCATAGTGATTAAAAGGAAGAAATATAATACGAAAGTGTCTTATGCGGTGGCGTGTGATCGACTTGCCTTGTAGCTACAGTCGGACATAACTGCCGGTTTTGTTACTAAGGTTTGTCACATTCTCCATTAAAGTATATACTTGGTCTGATGCTATGTTTTTCAGCCACAAGCGCCGTGATTGGCTGCATTTTTTTCACACGCACATGATCGTCATCATTTGGTGATAAACATCTCTAACGGAATTACGCTGACGTAAACGACAGCACTGGCACAAAAAGCATTTCACACACTGCTCTAGACCACAAAAGTGTAACTGTAAGTTTGTGAGATGACGTCGTGATTGTGCGCATTGGTTTTGTTGCCATATTTGTGACAAATCGGTGACGTCTAACATTTATCATCAACAAGTGATAGTCACCAGTCCGTAGGTGAAATCAATTGGCGGCACGTTGGTGTGGCCCATGCTACCGCAGGATTCTCATCGCCATCGTTAGTTGTTCTTACTCGCAGACAGGTGTCCAATCCCGATGGATAAAATGGCACGTGGGATATACAACGGTTGATTAATTTATTGTGCATAAAACCCTTGGTTTATGCATTAGTAGGCTGTATTGCTTACTCCTTTTGTGAATTCTTAGGTGATCCCGCTTAATTGTTCACTCGATTCCACCGTCAAAAATTACGTTTATTTGAGCAATCAATTTGGGACGCGTACGGTTGAGTGAACACACTATGAGCAGTGTCCAATCACACATTCATCATAGCCAGCCACCTGGCTGCATTAGTTTCGAAATTGTATATCTCACGACTCCAGATAGCAAGGCTATGGCGAACACTGCGGCTATTACTACTTAGGCAGTTACCAATACAACTACGCGCTGAAAAGTTCATCGCAGTCAGTGAAGAAATGTATGCGACTAAAATGCTCCACTCAGCGCGTCAATAAACGTTGCAAAAACCAAATAGACTTGGCAATATTGCTACTTTGAATGAATAATGTGACAATAAAGCTTTGACTTTGGTAGATTCATTGAACATGTAGGCACGGATCTCGCCTAAGGGGCGACAGTGTATAATCAAATTGTCATGTGTCCAGATTCCTTCCTGTATGCTCAACGTAATTCTTACCGTAGTCTTCGTATTGTATCTTGAGCATAAAATATCATCGTTCGTTGTCTACATGTTCAGCTTACATTTTTGACGGGGTGCTCAAAGTGGCAGCTAATTTAAGAGCCACTGTGATCTGTGCTAGATAAGCAATGTTATTCTCTTCTCAGAAGTAATGTTTTATAGGATAAAATACTTTATCTTCATCCAGCACATACCATGTAACTCTAATAGGCCTTCGTTTGATCTTGCTGGCGCTCTTAGCCTATTAAAATAGGAGCTGTTGTTCACTGGTTAAATCACCGCAAATACAGAACAAGACCAGCTTTGCGCATTTATTCCTGGTGAGCTACCTGAATGACCTAGCTCTCCTCCATTCCTCTAACTAATAATCACATCAGCTTTTATGAGAACATTCATCTGGAGAATCGGTGTGATAGTTTGGCTGAATTTCCCGGAAAATATTTGGATTCCAGTAGACATCGGGTTAACTGAACCATTTCGCAGAAGGTGCACCTGCTAAAATAATTATTCATCTTACTCTGCTTTGTGCTGCCTGAGAGACCGTAGACTAATTTTCTAGACAGGGTCGTACGAGAATCTGTGGGTACGTGCTTAAAAGAAGCTGTATAAGAAAACATTTCTCCTCTTCCCGTTTTGCTTCCATAATGCTGGAAAGTGGTTTGCGTAAATGCAGTATAATTTGTAGAAACAAATTTTTTTGACACGGTGTGGTTAGTATAGTAGCTCAGCATCTGATCAGTTCGAATAGTTTTACTGTACACCAAATTGTTTCAACATTCCGTCAAATATCATGATGATTTGCACTACCAAGAATGGAAGCATGTTTTTCACCTCCCATTCCATGTGAAATAAATATCGTCCATGGTGCTTGTGAGCACATTTTATGCGATTTAAGTTGACCAGGTTTTAGTAGCACTAATATGTCATCGACTATCAGATAGATAAGTTGGGTTAAATGTGGGCAGCGGAGACTTTTCCAATGTTTGCAATAATTTCTCAGTAATTAGTCCAGTTAAAGTGGACCCATCAAAGATTATTTTCCTTGCACACCTATTTGTTCATCCAAATGGAAGTAGCTCGCCAGCTGGAGGTGAAGCAGCCTGCACAGACTGTCGTTCGTCAGTGATTTGAGTTTTTCCTCGCTTTGGCCCAGCCGTTCCGCAATTGCTCTCCTTGTCATCCTTAAATTGATAGATATTGTTTCCGCAATGGTTAGGAGATAAATTACGTAGTCAATCCAACCAGGACTAGGTAGGAATGCGTTCTGACTTTCAGCGATTCGGAGCTCACGAGATCTAACAAGTTGTCGAATAATGATACACGTTAAAATGCTGAAGGCATTGGACAAAAGTTAGCTGACCAGACTTGAAGTTGAATACGAAAGTTGACAAGCATAGGTCTGAAAGTTTGAACTTTGTGTGCCCAACAGTGTTAAAAGAAGCAGCACTTGCATTCAAGTTTGCGTTATCTCCACTATTTAACAGGAGAACAGTTATCGGGTTTAGGATACTTGCTGGTTTCGGCTACGACATATGCATCTGGGTAATCTACGACAACAAAGCTGTGTCCGGCGAGCGCAATCATCATTAATTCGTCAATATCGAAACTGCAAAAGAAAGGTGACGGTCGGTACCTCTCAGACCGCTAGATTTGACTGAGATAGATGATACAATTATGTAAACTATTATGATGTTCCAAATTCCATCGCAAAGCGTGCGATCCATTTTCGTCCAAGATAAGTCCGACGAAGGGATCACAATGTGGTGAGGGCCTTGTCGGAATTTGGTTATCCTGAGCAGCAAGCACGCAACAGCATTCATGGGTGGCGACAACATTCGATTTTGTAATAAGCCAACAAAACATCAGTTTAACCTACCGTATAGCATTTTTGTGGAAGCTTTAAGCGCTAATTTGTAAATACCTTAAATGATGGACTGTAAGCGGTATTCCTAAATGATGGTATTTGTAGCTCTTGTTAAATAATGTTGTTCAACCTGCGTGAAAGCACAAGCGATTGCCTGATAACCATTACCGAGTTTGAGGAAATATGAATCCTACTAGAAAGATTACACTACCTAACGGAATAATGAAGCCTAACCACTTGCATTTTATGCTGCCGATTTTATGGCGAATTGTGCGCTATTGCAAGTCTAAAGCAATAAATTTGGATTAGCATGGTAGTTTCTTTTAGTGTGATCAAGCAATTAGGTAGGTATAAAAAGGCCTTACATGGCATGAAGCGTAGCGTATCCCTTTTATCGCCAGACATAAATAAATAAATACTTAAATGTAACGAGAAGCAGTACACGGCCTCATAAGCGGGAGCGATCTTTTGTACACTGATTGGCTTTTCTGGTTTATACATCACAAATGTATATTAATAAGGAAATGTAAATAATAGATTTTAGATCCGGAATTTTCACCTGCATTCTAGACCCGATCACACAATACATAATACTATTGGTATTGGGATCAGCGTTTCCCAATTGGCGAGACTCAGGATTATCAAATATTGGGAATAGAATTACAGATTGCAAGGACAAAATTATGGTTCTTTGGGTAATGAGAATCATTCGGAAAGCTGATCGTAAGCAACTAGCTCTTCGGAAATTATTTACAAGAGCTTCCGGCACTGTTTCTAT